GAAATAATTTTTACGCCCTCCAAAGTTGTTAAACTTCCTTTCTGATTAGATGATTAAAGTATCTCTCTACTGCTTTTAACGGGTTATTCAATTTAGTCATCGTTGATGTATTACGTTTAATGAGAACAGTTTATAAATTCAAATAATTATGACCATTATTGCTGTTGTTATTATTGTTATCAACGTCATCATTGATCGTCAAAGTGGATAGATAACTACAGTTATACCACTGTGGTCGTATTAAAATCATATATACATGTATGTATACTAAGAATAGTGGGTAACTGAAATGCTATCGTTTACTATCTCTTTAAGAATTGGTTGAACATATGAATAGAGTTTGGCACGTAGGAATGGCGGAAGAGTGTTCGGTTTGTGCATGGGACGTTTAGTCGAATTCCAGAACGGTTGAAAGTTCATGTTAGTTCTTTTTATACTTGTTGAAATGGGATTCTTTACACCACAAACAAATACAGTCTAGAGACTAATACCAAATCGGAATATTTCTAATTTGGTATTAGGCTCTAGAATATATTTTTTAGTGGTGTGAAAATGCGAAATAGAAAAGGAGATTCTCAACGAGCTGTTTTCTCTGAAAAGTGGACAAAGCAAGATCTTAGTTGAATATCGGGCATATTTGTATCAAAATTTATCATCTCTATACTAGATCAAAGGCTTTAGTCTCTGTTATCGACGGTTGTTCCGCTGAGATTAAGTCTGGCTCCATCGTGTATGGGGAAGTTTGAAGTTGTTTTATAAAATAATTCCCCATACCAGAAGGTTATTTCTGTCTATCTCTATACGATTTTCTTCATGAGCACTAGTCACATACACGATATTTCTAGATCTGAAATGATAATATTAATAATAATAATAATAATAATACTGCTAATAATAAAAGTAATGGTTATAATGATGATAATAATAATATAAATAATAATTATTATTATTATAATAGCACAAGTAATATCAATAATAATAAAGACGGCACTACTTATTTTCTGTAATGGAAATGTTTTGAATTCATGTCAAGGTAAAAAAAAAATGTATTTTAGTTCTAAAATTAATTTGTGTTGTTTGGAATCAAGAAGAAAAAAACGTTGAAGAAAAAGAAATACGCAGCGGGGGGCAGCGTAGGGGGCAGCCCCCATAAAAAACACACACAAAGCAAATACAATAAATATCAATAATTCATTACATTTTGCACCAAACCCTAACATAAAAAAATCCTCTCTGTGCCCCCTGGACCCCAACAAGAGCTCTAAGGCGGGATCCTTGATGCTCATCTGACCATAATTAAATACCTAAAACCCCTTGGCTTCCGGGGGCTCTGCCCCTGGACCCCACCAAGGACCCTAAGGAGGGCCTCTGGATGCTCATCTGAGTATAATGTAATGCCTAATACCTCCCGAACTCAGGGGGGGGGGGGCTCTGCCCCTGGATGCTCATCTGACTGTAATTAAAAACCTTAAGCCATTGGGCTCCCGGGTACTCTGCCCCCCTGGACCCCACCAATGGCCCTGAAGCAGGCCCCTGGATGCTCATCTGATCATAATGAAATACCTAAAACCCCAGTATGGGCTTAGCCCCCTGGACCCCATGCCAATTATTGACCTGCCGATGTCACAAATAAGGTGTCTATATACTAAATATGCTTTAATATCTGACAGTTATTTAATGCCTAAAACCCCTGAGCTTCCGGGGGCACCGCCTCTGGACCCCACGTAGTCTAGTTCTAGACCATATTGATTTGTGTTATTCGCCGATTATAAGCGTTAAGCCAAGTGATGGCGGGATCGCCCAGTCACTAAGGATCGCGCCATCGTTTTACAATGTTAAATCTGAGATGCACGGCCCTACGTGTTACCAGTGTCTGTGATATGTTGTAATATTGAAGCCCTAAACAAATCGCGCTTCAAAATGATCAAGAAGTGCTTCAAAAAAGTAAAAATCTTTAAGTGACCGGTTTTACCATACTCGTTTTCCCCAGTAGACTGTAATGTTATAAAAACCGTTTGGCAAACGGTTTTCAAAATGTGTAATTTCAATCATAAATATCTTGATAATCAGACAGGCGATCGGCTTGTAAAAGTCATGGGGTTCCTGACTGACCTAAAGGTTTATAATTATCATTGCAGCATGAGCTAAATCAGGGATTTTGTTTCAGAATCTGAGACAAAGTTACCGGATCCCTTTAAAAGTTTATAGTATATAATTATCATAAATTAATTTGCATTGAAGAATGATAAAAAGTACACACTGGCTCCAATATTAACAGAGCTTGATGCCTTGTCACCCCTTTATGATGAATATCTTTACATTTCACTTGCTACAGAGTGATTCCAATATGGGGGTGAACACTGATGGTGAGGAGATGGGTCCTGAATCAACAGTAACAGGTGGAGTTAAGGTAAGCAAAATGTATTTTTATGCTTAATCATTCTGAAAGGTTAAGTCATTAAAGTCTAAAGGAAACAATATTATATCTACTCATCTTTCATATTTCATGTATGCTTACGAGGTTTATAGACTTGACGTTCTCGCTCTTGATGTTGTAATACGTTCACGACCACTCAAATTTGCCAACAGTACTATTTATATGAATATCAATCAAAATACAAATTTCCTTAAAAAGAATGGAACATCTGATTTCAAAATAATATTCGCTAGTTTCTCTAGACCCACTACCCACGAGACCGTAAAAATAAAGAAATACAAAAAAGAAGGTATAAGAATCATGCAGGCTTTCGGCCTCGTACGCTGTCGGACTATTGAACATTTTAGACAGTTGTCAGAAGGCCTGCGAGATCGACACAGCCGGTCTCGTGTAGTTTTTCCTGGTACATGTTAAAATAAGATTACAGAAAAAATGATCAATTACCCACAAAATAGAAGATTTGATTCAGTTCATGTTGACAGTCAATAAGGATGTATTTTGATCCATTTCTATTAGCACCAAAAACGGCTTTTTTGTGTCGGTTTAATTGTTAGCGTTCAAATCGTCTGGCGGGCCAGACGGGGCTCATGAGCCCCAATATATAGAAAAATGGTCTACTGTAAAAGGTCGCATCTTAACTGAGCAAAAGACTCTGATAAAATACCTTAAATTTTCAGTTTTTATGGCAGCACGATTATGTATTGAGATTAAAACGGAAAAAGAAGAAGAATGAGTTGAAATTTGTCAAGGGCTCTAGTTTTGCAGTTTCCTCACAGTGCAGACAACTATTGTTCAAGAGATGTCGCCTAACGCAACCCATAAACTCATTTTAGTCATGTGTTGTATTAAAAGAAGAAATTTCAGTTCATACACAGTTTAAAGGGGAAACAACATGAATTAAACAACAAATTATATTTATATTTGTTCCAGGTTATTTCACTATTTATCCAAATTGTCTGCCATGACATATTGGACTAAATCAATCTTTGGGTACACAAAACCCTGTGAAATTATGACATCAATATTATTATAATACTGTGATGTTTTTTATTTTTTGTTTGTTTTTCTTCAGCACACTGAGAAAGCTTGCGAGTTTGAACAACATCGTGAAAATGAGCAGAGTCCCCCTCAAGATGCTGATTGTGACGTAGGAATTCAGGAACACAAACCGTAAGCTTCACTTTTTTAATCAATCATCATCCAGTAAAACGCAGGCCTTGATTGTCATACTGGTTCTTATAAACTGTATTCGGGTAATTCCACTAGCGTAAAGCATATCACTAGTGTATCAGTGAATGTAATGGAAAGAGGAAACGGGTTAGTAAAAGGTGGGGGGGCGGGGGCGGGGGCGGTGGGGTGTAACATATGATTTACTATTAATTTATGAAATAGGAAATAACGCTGTCACAACTAATGCATTTTTGCTGAGACATTACGTTTTATTTCCGTGGACATACATGAAAACATTGTATCTTCAATCATTATCTGTAATCATTCATCATACTTGGATAATCATTGCATCTAGTCATGTCAGGCATGTCCCACATGATATTATTTTTAGCACAACGGTTGATTCCCCGTTTCAGTACCAAGCCCTTTATATTTTTTAAATATTAATTCAGTCTTCCTCGTAGATTAAACTCGGTGTGATCCCTCATTTCTTTATGAGACTCAATTTTCTCAATGAAAACTATTCGCTCAGGTGAATAACGGCAACCCTTTTGATTAAATGTTTTATTTCGTAAATTGTATTGTTCCTTGTTTATTACACCCTTTACTAATGATGAAACTAATTCGCCTCTATCTGATCATTTTGGTATTACATTTTATTCAAACATCTTACATTGTTTCTTACGAATCGATATAGACAAAATGCATTGATTTGCTTTCAATTTCCTTTGAAAAGGAATAGCTGGGGACCTAAACCATGATCTCATCAGGTTCCAAATTTCAAACAAATGGACACCCCCTCCTTCCCCGAATATGTGGTCAGTCTCAAATGACATAAATGTTAATGCCTATCAATATCAATTGCATATTATTTTATAATTTTTTTGCTTTAAATTTCATGTTCATAATACAAACAAAATTAGGTTCCAATGGATTGTTTCCATATCAGTCTCTTTATTTTAGAATGGAATTCGAACAAGTATGACTTAAATGACGCATATGATTTCAAAAGTTTGAAATGCCTAGTTCCATAAAATCACATCGAGTACAACACCATAATTATGCCTTTTGTTATAGGGCCGAGGGAGCCGATATACCACTGATCACATCTCTGCAAGACATGCCATCACAACATACATCCGGTGCTTTAGATACTAAACACAATGAAGCACAGAGAGAGCATACAGATGGAGAAGATAGAGTACTATCTAATACTCCTACATCACTTCGACCTGATGCAGATATTGAGGACGAGAAAACAGAGCTGTCACAGGGCGCTCTTGTAAATTTGAATACCGACACATCCGACAAGTGCGTCCTAATGGAAGAACGCACATCTTCTCTGCAGCCAGAAGAAGCCATGGTAATATTAGAGACTGATGCCAATGATGATTGGAATGCAATGTATACTACACTGAATGACGAATCCCTGAGTAATGTCAGTGCTTCCAAACTAGAGCTACCATTCAACCCTGACAAATATCAGATGGATGCGGAAGGATACACACCGCTCTACAAGGCAGCTTTAGAAGGTCATCTCGAATTTGTTAATGACCTCATTTCACGGGGAGCAAACCCAAATAAACCAAGTAAGGGTGGACTCCGTCCTCTTCATGGAGCGGCTCAAGAAGGACATACACACATCGTTGACTTTCTCATCCCTCAAGGAGCGGATGTGAGTATGGAATGTGACTTGAGTCGGACGCCTCTTCATACAGCAGCATCCAAAGGCTATACTTCTATCATAGATAGTCTCATTGCAGAAGGCGCTAATATGAACAAGGAAGATAACACAGGGCGTACACCATTTAGCGATGCAGTTCAAAATGGCCATCTAGAAGCCGTCAAATACCTCATGATTCACGGAGCGAAGCAGAACATATATGACGAAATGACCCCACTGTATGCCGCTGCAGAATCTGGCCACCTAGAAGTCGTCAAATTCTTCATATCCAATGGCGCAGATGTGAACGCGCAAGATGACGAAGGGAAGATTCCTCTCCACGGTGCATCTTGGAACGGTAACACTGAGGTCATGAAATATCTCATTCAACAAGGATCAGATGTAAACAAGATGGATGCTGAGGGTTGGACACCATTCAATGCTGCTGTTCAAAATGGCCATCTAGAAGCCGCCAAATACCTCATGACTCACGGAGCGAAGCAGAACATATATGACGAAATGACCCCACTGTATGCCGCTGCAGAATTCGGCCACCTAGAAGTCGTCAAATTCTTCATATCCAATGGCGCAGATGTGAACGCACAAGATGACAAAGGGAAGATTCCTCTCCACGGTGCATCTGGAAACGGTAACACCGAGGTCATGAAATATCTCATTCAACAAGGATCAGATGTAAACAAGATGGATGCTGAGGGTTGGACACCGTTCAATGCTGCCGTTCAATATGGTCATCTAGAAGCTGTCAAATATCTCCTAACTGAAGGAGCGAAGCAGAACAGATATGATGGTATGACCCCACTCTATTCCGCATCACAATTTGGTCATTTAGACATCGTCAAACTATTCATTTTCAAAGGAGTCGATGTAAACGAGGAAGATGACAAAGGAAAGATTCCTCTCCATGGTGCTGCTATTCAAGGCCACATTGAAGTCATGGAATATCTCATTCAGCAAGGATCTGATGTGAACAAGGCAGATGCCAAGGGTTCGACTCCGTTCAAGGCTACCGTTAAACATGGTCATCAAGAAGCTGTCAAATACCTCCTGACTGAAGAAGCGAAGCAGAGCAGATTTGATGGTATGACCCCACTCTATGCCGCAGCAAAATTTGGCTATTTAGATATCGTCAAATTCCTCGCAGACAAAGGAGCTGATGTTATGGAGGAAAATGGTTCAGGCCAGATACCTCTGTATGGTGCAGCTGTCAGGGGTCACATTAATGTCATGGAATATCTCATACAGCAAGGATCTGATGTGAACAAGAAAGATAACACTGGTTGGACTGCATTCAATGCTGCTGTTAAATGTGGTCAGCTAGAAGCTGTCGAATATCTCCTGAATAGAGGAGCGCAGCAGAATACATATGAAGGTATGACCCCACTCGATGTCGCAGCAAAATCTGGACATTTAGACATCGTCAAATTCTTCAGAGACAAAGGAGCTGATGTTATGGAGGACAACGATTCAGGCCAGATTTCTCTCCATGCTGCAGCTGCTCGAGGCCACTTGAAAGTCATGGAATTTCTGATTCAGGAAGGATCTGATGTGAACAAAAAAAATAAAACTGGTTGGACTCCATTCAATGCTGCTGTTAAATGTGGTCAGCTAGAAGCTGTCAAATATCTCATGACTCAAGGAGCGATGCAGAACAGATATGCTGGTATGACCCCACTCTATGCCGCAGCAAAATCTGGACATTTAGATATCGTCAAATTCTTCAAAGACAATGGGGCTGATGTGAAGGAGGAAAATGATTCAGGCCGGATTCCTCTTCATGGTGCAGCTTCTGGAGGCCACATGAATGTCATGGAATATCTGATTCAGCAAGGATCAGATGTGAACAAGAAGGATAACACTGGTTGGACTCCATCCAATGCTGCCGTTCATTATGACCATCTAGAAGCCGTCACATATCTTATGACTGAAGGAGCGAAGCCAAACAGATATAATGGTATTACCCCACTCTACGCTGCAGCGTATTTTGGTCATTTAGATATTGTCAAATTCTTCCTATCCAATGGAGCTAGTGTGAACGAGGAAGTTGACGAAGGGGTGATTCCTCTCTATGGCGCAGCTTCTGGAGGCCACATAGAAATCATGGAATATCTCATTCAGCAAGGTTCTGATGTCAACAAGATTGATTGCAGAGGTTGGACACCATTACATGCTGCAGTAAGAAATGGTCATTTAGAAGTTGTTACATTTCTCATGGCGAAAGGAACAAAGGTAACCAATTTATACGGATTAACTCCGCTTTACATCGCAACACAGTATGACCATATCGATGTTGTAAGATTCCTAGTCTCAAAAGGATGTGATGTGAACGAAAGAAATGAATGCGGCAAGTCCCCTCTTCATGCAGCATGTTATAATGGCAGCATGGATATCGTAAAAGTCCTCCTTCATCACAACGCTAATGTCAATGAACAAGATCATGATGGATGGACACCACTCCATGCCGCTGCACAAGAAGGACACCAAGACATATTCCGCTACCTTATATTGAATGGAGCAGACATGAACGTAAAGGACATAGATGAATTGACACCGCTTCAGGCAGCAGTGAACGCAGGCCGTTTGAATGCAATAAAAGACATCTCAGCATGTAGAGGTGACCCGGATGAAGAAGAAACAAGAGATCCACGCTCTGGAGGCCAGCAGAACCTAATCAGAAGAGGCAGTGTGACTGTGACAATGAAGGATGCAGATACGACGTCACACACGGGGCAGTTAGCATCTCAGGTAGACAATGTAGAAGGTAGGAATGACTGCAATCAAGCTGATAATGCAAAGAGAGGAGACGACGAACTCTCCTTGAAGAATATTCCCATTGGGACCCATGATGATAAAGAAAGTGGCAGAGAAGAACACAATCCTTTCATCCATGCTAAGCTGAAATATCCTGAAAAAGGGGAACAAGATCCAATGCTAGATCAGAATGAAGCAATGAAGAGCCCCGTGACCACAAATGGCGCAGACGGTTCTTCCCCGCGTGGACCTCAGACATGGCAATACAGCGGATTCAATCCACCCTTTCTACAAACCATTGGGAATGACGGTCTCCCGTCTGAAGAACCGGAATCCAGATGTCGCTCACTAATTGAAGAAAACAGGGAAATGAGAGTGAGTGACTATTAAATATTTAAGTTTTCTCTTAACTAAGCATATATTTCATTGAAACTGTGGATTAAAAAAATAATAGCAAATACAAGTATGTTTGGAAGCAACCATTTAGCTATTTCTAATTTCATCTATGGAAAGATCACGTAATATATTTTGCTCCCAACACACCTGAGATATTTAAAAAAAAATCAGATTCTAAAAATAGAAAATGAAAAACTATATGCATTATTATTATACACATTGGTCAGTCCTTTCTGTTGTGAGAAACATTAACGCGTTCATTCAATGCATGTATTTTACATTTTACCATGCTCGTTGTTTTGTCTAATTCCTCCTAGAACATTCGTGCTAACCAAAACTAATTGTCGCCATTTTGTCTTCTTAGTTAACATAATATCACACCACTCTAATATGACATTTTCTCTGATGTAATCGATTTCTCCGTCAGGAATCTCCTCCACCGATGAATGCTGGAAATGATCTACCAATCAAAGAAACATCAGTGAAGTTTGAGAGGTACTAGTCACTTTCCGTTTCTTTTATATATATTGAAACCTTATTATTTATAGAACAAGATGTATTTAGCGCATAAATTTCGTCCACAATTAGTTGCATCATCAGTAAAAAAACAGTTTTCTTCATGTTTATTGATATTTATAATTATTTGAGATATTCTTCATAATGTATATGAATAATCGTTTATGAAAAAACATTATGTACGTAAACTGTATGCCATCACCTGTAAGCAGGATTAACGCACTTTGGATATTTAACCTTCCTGGACTTGATCCTTAAGAAGCTAGAGAACAGTGAAGCAAGACTTGATGCGGTACCCAGGTTATTTTTCAAGTAGATATTTAAATATAGGCGTTTTTCCCTGGCCATATGTGGGATTTATGCGATGTACATATACGGCTATTTGTAAACATTTATACAAACATTTGTATATTACGGAGAATTTTTGTTGATGGGCAAGAAATACCATCATGCTACTCGGGACCCATTTTAATAAGCTTATTTTGGTCTCTCTTTACACCACCTAACTCTAATTTCTACAATTACATTCAACAGTTTCCCTACACACCCACCAGCTGTCGTTCACCAGGGGTTGCATGACGGGAACCCTGTCTCCACCCAAGGAACCTCCTCAAACCCAGTTTGGAATATTGGGGTAAGAGAGAATTATTGTTCCCAAATATTATTTATCAACGAATTGCTGTGGAGGTTATGAAATATAATAACAAGCTTAAGATAAAAATGGATTATCATTCTGCATCTGTGCAAAACAAAACGTAAATGAGAACAGTACCGAATATCAGTAGTTTTAATGGTGAATTAAATAAAGTGAGTAACCTGTACGATTTGTACAGGAAGGCGTTCATTATCAATTTAGGTTTGACTGCCTCGTTATATTTGCTATTTACTTTCAGGGGGTTAGGAATCGATATAATTTAATCTTTTGCATATATTGAGAAATGTCACTCGATTCCTTGTGGAACATTGAATGCCAGCATTGAATGGTGTCCCCCCCCCCCCCCAATGTTGTATTGTTCAAATCGGATGCTTGTTGATTAAGATATTCTGTGACTTTTGTCAAATTCACAACGTTCTTTCAAATTCATACCGTTTTGATCTAGACCAAACGTCACCAATCGGTTGACCGCTGTCCTTCAATCCTGGCCCTTGTACGAACTTTCCTGCAGATGATCATCGCTTTAACCATCATTCTTGCTGGAAGTCCGGTTCTTGTAGCAGGCAGCGATAGCATCGAACGAGTCACGCTACAAGCAGGTAAACCTGGTGTGGTCCCATTCTATCTCCCATTGTTACCCAGTAACACATCCCAGATTTTGACATATTACACACTTGGATTTCAATCCGAGCCTCGTCCTTTCTGCTTTAATGGACAAAATGATATCGCGGGCTTCAAAAACCCATCCCAGTTACCAAGATTTACCACCTCAGTCACAGATTTAGACACCTCTACTTGTGTGAATCTGATGATAGAAGACGTTGATACTCTAGATGAGGACGGGTACGTATTAACGACAGTGTGGCAGAGTTTTGAGGACGTTCGGCATGGAACTATGAAGAAGGAGATTATTGTTCAAGTTCCCCCCGGATCTGCAAATTGCTTCATCACTTTTAGTGAAAATGTTGACTACCCTTATGAAGTACACTGCCGAGCCACCATTGGAAGTATAAAACCCACACTATCATGTTACCAGAATGATCAGATGATTGACTTCAGGGGTAATGTTACAAATAATGGCCAAGTTATCAGACGTATATTTTGGCTACCCCATATTTCTCATTTCTCTTGTTGCTCACATGATGTATCTTTAAATGTAAGTGAAACAACGTGTAATGACTTTGTGTGGCCACGTAGCAAAGAAACTACGAGACAGACTGTTAATACGGTACCTACATCGGGTACCACTCTAACACCCCAAACAGAATCCCATTTAGATTCTGGGGCTTGTAGACAATTCATGCTTCCTTCTCTGTGGCACCTCACGTACCCGTTCGTATACCTCCTCTACGTTTTTACAATATATTAAGACAAAATATTCACACTCTTTACATAACTTTTTTGTTTAAATATATGATAATACTAACAAATACATGAAGAAATATATATTTTCGTTTATATTCGATTTTCATTTATTAGTATTTTGTGAATAGAGTGTTTGTTCTCTTGTTTACTATATTGGCAATATGTTATTCATGCTAATGTTAGTTTCTTCATCATCGCTATTGCAAACCATGTAGAATGAAAAATAATTTTTGCTTGATCAATTAAAGGTAAAGACCAGTATTGGAAACGCCCCAATTTCAAAAAATGAAATGGAAGCTCTCATTACCTATCATGTGAAAGAATATGTTTTGACTAATACATGATGATAACAAATTTGCCGGGAAACCGCCTACTAATTCATATATTTGGTAAATTTGTTTCTCTCATGGTCTGTGAGAGATATAGGGTAGTCCCATATACATATTTCTGTGTATAGTGCTTGTAACTTTACGAAGAATGGGCCAAATTTCTTATCATTTTGATGATTCCAGAACCTTGCAGATGCTAGATGCTAGATGATCAACCTTTTCTGATCGATTCCTAAACGTTTCTTTCACAATGCAATCGCATGACCATAACTGGTCTTTACCTTTAACTTCCAAATATATTTTACATGTATCTATGAATACACCTCACAATGTAGTTTACATTGATATACACGTACTACAGAACGGCTGGTATAATATTTATGCGTGTATCATGTTATGGAAGGCCATTTCCAACACATGCCACGCACGATAGAGAAACTGTGCTTCATTGCAGAATATGATGAAATATCAGCAACTTACTGCATTGAGTTATGCGTAGGGTATATCACATGTTAATTTCATAATCTAAGAATATTTGATTCCGATAGTTTGAATAAGTTATAAAACGAAAAGAGGAACACTTTAATCACGTACAAGTAGCAAGTCTCTTTATATTATCTTTGTAAAAAAAAATATATATATAATGTGATTAATGTGAGTCTGTCAAAGGCAGATTGAAATCCTCCTTCTTTTACATTCTCCTTCTTTTACATTCTCCTTGCCACATAAGGCTTAGAGCTGACCCGAATATGTTACTCAGTTATGTTATTCTCTGGATTGCATTACATGAATATCTTTATTTTGAATCGGTTATCTAGTATACGGTAACGAACCCAGGTGTTGTGTTCCCTATCCTGTTTATCGTGTACTATATGTACAGTCTATACGGCTTAGCATACATAACGTGCCAAAACTTTGATCCTGCTATCATCTTTTGAATACTTGTTGTGTCATCTATCTGGAATTTAAGTGCTCCAATTTCAAATTTATATGTCAGTCGCAGTTTAAATGCCATGGCTTTATAATGAAACTCATTGTGAACTTACAGTATTTGATTTGCATTTTATCATACATAAGAAAAATCATGCACTTTTAATACTTTATAGTTATCCTCAATTCATTGATTTTTTGTAAGGCTAAGAATGTCCTATGGACTGCGTTCTTTATCTTGTAAATGAGTGACCTTATCAAATTGTAAATACATGCAAGTTATTAAAATGGCCAACCTCTTTTGTATTCGGGGAAAATTAAATGCTTTGATTGTGCACATTTTAAAGTTATCTTTCACATTCACACCGACGTGCTTGCTCATATTGCCCTTTTATTGCACATTTTTTTTAATTGTATTTAATGAAACAATGTCTTTTAATAAAATTAATTTATGTATAACACATTTTGGAATCTTCATTAAAGCATGCTTGTTGTAACTATTAAACGGTCTAATGTTGCTATTGGAGAATAACAGAAACAGACTTTTAGAGATCCGTTTCTTTTGCTGTTTATGTTAATGCTCGTAAAAGGACGATGTAGAAAATAAGCCATTACCCCAGCCATGAAGAGGTGAGAAGCACTCAAACCAATAATTAAATAGTTAACAAATAAACGCATACATGAGAGTTTATACAACGCAGCCTGTTTAATAGCGTCTTTGTATAGGTGTATTGGAAATATGAAATTTGTAAGAAATATTAGAAATTATCAGTGTTAATAGCTCATGCTGTATATTATTTGTCGATACAGGTCATTTTTATTGTTTATGAAATATTTACGATTTATAAGGACATCGTTTTTAATATTTTGTCTACCATTGGAGCGTATGTTATAAATTGAAATTATATATATATTGTATTGTTGAGTATAGTATGCATATTGTACAGTTATCCATGAAAATCGTAGTCAATTGATTGGCAAAGATTGCAATGTATAATAACCGAACCTCTCTGCGTATTTTGAGTAATGAGTTACGAAAGTTCGAAGTCGTAGTAACGAAATGATTAATGTTGTATATGTATATAACTTATTATTTTACTCAATATTTCAATCATGATAATAAAACGCAAACTTCTTGGTATTTTGTGATAGAGTAAGTGCATATATTGTGCACATTTTGAAGTTATCTTTGACGTTCATACCGACAGACGTACCCACATAACGAAAGTATGTTGGTAACAAAGGGACTAATTTCCTATTAAAAAACTGATATACACAAAAATACCACACATGATGAGGAGAGACAAACTAAAAACAATAATTGAATAATTAACACAATTATGTATGTACATATTCTGATTTATGGCTATACAATATAAGATACCTATATATAATTTACAGATATCCAATGTATGTATAGAAGAAGTAAATTCCTAATGTATTTGAAATCTTGCAAACGAGAGAAATTATAAAATTATCTTTCTTTGTAAATAATGTTATCACTATACTATATAACGTATAATTTTACTTAGTGTTTCAGTGTTCTTCTATTCATTTGTGAATAGTAATTTTTGTAAACAATGAATAGATAAAATAGATGTATAGAATGTACATAAAATTTCTTTTAGTTTTATATATGATCAGTATGCTTCCATGCCTCTCAGTGCGTTATGTTAATATTAATATATGTTAACGTCGTTTCAAAACAACAACAACCACAATTCATCAGCTGGTTATTATGCACTAACAAGGTTATACTCTCATGAATTTCAATAGTTTTTTTGCACTTTGTTTTTTAAAAACTTGAAAGTGTTTGCTTTCTCGCTTTTCTCTGGAATAAAGAACTTTTTTATAAAACCATGACAATGCCATCATTATGTACCCATACAGGAATATATATTGTTTTACAGTGTTGTGCTTTGTTGTAGTAGAATGAAATCCATATTACAAGGGTTCACATATTAGAAGTGTAAATATAAAACAAGAAAGAAAGGACAAGAGAAACAGATAACAACACAACGCATGCATGCAGTTATATCCAATGCAGTCTGTTTAATAGCGTCTTTGTAGAGGTTTATTTGTCTCACTTTGCATGATGAGGAAATGGTAATAGTAATAAAGAACTTATCTCCGTATTGTTAATCATATGATATGAAATGTGGAAGGATTATAATGGTAATCTGTGGTATTCGTTAATGATGTAGTTTATTCATTAAGATATTGTATATTAATTGTTCACATGAATTGATAATGAATTGTATATAAGGAATATTGTTGCCAATATTTTGTATGCTTTGCAGCATATGTTCTGTAATTGTACAGAAGAGTATAGTATGCATATGGTACAGTAATCTACGAATGTCATAGTAAATTCCTTTAAAAAAATCGTGTACAATAACAGAACATCTATGCGTATTTTGATCTACAAATATCGAAAGTTTCAAGTCTTATTAACGAAATTATCACTGTTGTATATGTATATCACTAATTATTTTACTCAATATCATAATCATGATAATAAAAGACCAACCTCTTTTGTATTGGGGTTAGAGTAAACGTTTAGATTGTGCACCTTATCAAATTATTGCTGACAATATTAATGGTAATCAGTGGTAGTCGTCAATGATGTATTCTATTCATTAATATATTGTTTATTATCTATTCACATGAATTGACAATGAATTGTATATAAGGAATATTGTTGCCCATATTTTGAATGCTTTGCAGCATATATTCTGTATTCGTACAGAGGAGTATAATATGCATATTGTGCAGTAATCTACGAATGTCATAGTAAATTCCTATTTTTAAAAAAATCGTTGTGTACAATAACAGAACATCTATGCGTATTTTGATCTACAAATATCGAAAGTTTCAAGTCTTATTAACGAAATTATCACTGTTGTATATGAGTTTGAGTTTGAAGTTTATTATCCAAAACAAAAAGTACATCAATATATAACAATCAAAT